TAGTGACCACTGACGCAAGCCAATATGGTATTGGCGCAGTGCTGGCTCAGCAGGAAGGGAAGAAGTTGAGACCGATCGAGTACATGAGCAAAAAGATGCCTTCAAAGAAATTGGCAAAGTCCACCTACGAGAGGGAACTCKACRCTCTTTACAAGGCACTTGTCMACTGGAGGCACTACCTGTTAGGCARRTTCTTCTATTTGAGAACTGAYCATCAKACCCTCAASTGRATCAAGACTCRACYAGTTCTCTMCGATGCACTSAAACGYTGGATTGAAGTCATAGATCAATATGACTTCAAACTAGACTATTTGAAGGGAGAGTACAACAAGGTTGCAGACGCGTTGTCTAGGAGGGCAGACTACCTAGGTGCTCTGATTTCTGAGTTTAGTCTATCTGAAGATGTATCTCGATCTTTGGAGGAAGCCTACAAGGAAGATCCCATCATGATGGACATCATCAACAAACTACAAGCTAAAGACAAGGCCACCACCAGTGAGTTTGTGATGGTGGATGGGTTGCTCTTTCTTGAGAAGGCAGGGTTCAAGAGGTTAGTTGTTCCATCTAGGGAAGCTTTGCGTAGTTTATTTTTAGGTGAGTGCCACGACGCAATGGGACACTTTGGTTATAAGAAGACTAGTGTTAACTTAGTACAACGATTTTGGTGGCCTAACATGCTTGACGGTGTGAAGAGGTATGTGGAGACCTGTCAGGTCTGTCAGCGGGACAAGCCGCGGACTCAAGCTCCGCTTGGGTTACTCAAGCCTTTACCCATTCCTGCTGGTCCGAGTTAGAGTATCTCCATGGACTTCATGGATACTCTCGTGACCAGCAAGAATGGCAAGAGACACATCTTCGTCATAGTAGATAGGTTCACTAAGTACGCTAGACTAATCGCCATGCCAGAAACTGCCAGGACTGAGCACGTCATCAAGTTGTTCATGGACAACTGGGTGCGTGACTTTGGACTTCCAAAGACTATCGTTAGTGATAGAGATGTGAGATTCACAAGCGAGATGTGGAAGAAGGCCGCTGAACAGATGGGCAGCCAGCTTCAGATGACTTCAGGGAATCATCCCGAAGCGAATGGGCAGGCTGAACAGATGAACCGAGTGGTGCAGCATCTGCTGAGGCATTACATCAAGCGCAGCCAGGATGACTGGGATGAGAAGTTGCCTCTCATCGCCAGTGTGTACAACAATGTTGTACACAGCACCATCGATGTCAGTCCTAATCAGCTGCATCTCGGATGGAAGCCTAGATCCACTCTAGACTTCCTCCTGCCTGAAAACTGAACTGCTGCAACTCCTGGAACCATTGAATTTGGTGTCCAGTATGAGAATATCAAGAAATCTCAAGAAGCCATGATTTCTTCTGAGAACAAGCATCGTCGAAAGTCCACATTTCAGGTAGGGGAACGTGTCTGGGTCAAGGCTAGAGAACTGGGACAGGAGTTTGGCATCTCTAGGAAACTAATGCCTCAGTATTTCGGTCCCTGGGAAGTACTGGATATCGTGGGGAATGATTTGGATGGTCCCTCGTACGTTATTCGTATCCCTGGTCACTTACGCACTTACCCTGTTTTCCACGCTTCCAAACTTGCACCTTTCGCTGAGACAGCACAGCACCCATCACGGAGATCTATGCTGGCCCCAACCATGGATGGCCACGTGGACGTCGACGACATCCTGGATCACAGAGATACGCCTGTTCCTAAGTCACCTGGCAGGGGAAGACCTCCCAAACCTGCGAGGGAATACAGAGTACATTTCAGGCATCATACAGATCCGTGGACGATTATGAGAAAAGACTGAAGGGGAAGGCACCAGCATGAAGCATCTCAGCGGACTTTCGAAGCTATGGGGGATGGAATGTGAGGAACAAGCCCTCAAGTGGCCCTTTCAGACATCACATTGTTCTGGGCCAAGGCCCCAGCAAGCCAAGTGCCCGCCCTAAGTGAAGGCGGGCCTGAATATTCGTCACAGGCCAAATTCGACATTTCCATATGTGGGTATTCAGGCTCTTGCAKCGCGTCAGTTGGTTGAATGAACGCGCGAGCCTCACTAAGCTGCGCCGTACAGTTGGCCCAGGCCACGAAAGTTGTGCCTGGGCACCTACACACAAAGAGGGCCGATACATTGAGAAGCAGGCCGTCGGCCTCTGGAAACGCAGTACAGCCGACGCACCTACCTGGGGGCCCTGCGCAGATGCAGCTAACAGCCCAAGTCCGGAGACTCAGGCCGCACTCAACTGTAAAGGGCCCAGGCCCTCAACTGTAAGTCTCGGCCTGGGCACAGGGTCTGAGGTCCAACCGGAAGTTACTGGAAGCTTCCAGCCAGGCCACACGCAGCAGGCACCAGGCTGCCACTTCCATAAAGGAAGTGAGGCAGCCCAGGCCAGGCATTCTGGCCAGTGCTGGCATTGGGGAAGTGCTGCTGCGCTATTACCTTGATGCTGCGCTGCTGCCAAGGGCGCTGACGAAGCGCAAGAGGTGTAGTGGGGCGCTGCAGGGCAGCTGGGCGCAGGCGGCCATAGCCGGGCTGCTAGGCGCCAGGGGGTACAGCGGATGATCGGTTGGTCTTCAGGGAGTGAGGCGCTGTGTGGGATAATCAAGGTCTAATTGAGGGTGACGAGTTACGTACCTGGTACATGAAGAGAGGTCGCCGATGGTGTTGACAGTCATGTACATTGGTCTTCGTGAGCCGAAGTGATCCTGTTGTGTGAACCAGCTGTAGAGTAGGATGGTATGGTAGAGTAGGCTGGGCGCTGTGCGCCAGACAGAGAGAGCACTCTGGATACTGTGTTGGTGTGGCCTACGGGCTTGGAGATTGGCTCAATACTTCATTGTATTGCTCTTTATGGATGGTTTTCTCGGTGCATTTGTAAACTCTACTTGGGATACTACTACTTGCTCAGCTGTGTGATTTCGCAACTTGGTTTTATGTATATCGCTCACACTCATATTCCTTGCATTTGAAATTATTTCTCTTTTTTTTTTGCCCCTACTCTACTTTCGGTCAAGGTTTGTGTGTGCCAAATTTGGTGTTTGTTGAAGACTTGGAGATGAATTTTTTGGCAAGCCCTGAAATTCCTGAAAAACTGTGAAGGGTAAATGGCGCATGAAAGCACATTTTTGTCTGAGGGTTTTAGGCTCCTTTGGTCCTTTTTTTTCTGCTGTTGGTTTATTTGTTGTCCACTATGAATTGATGAGAAGCCTCGTTCAAAAGGTGGGGGAGTTTGTTGTAAAGACCATGAAGAAACCCTCTTCTTGTCAAACAGCATACTGCAAACAAGCTCTCGTTATTGTATGAATTCATTCCTATACTGAGATGCGCTCTCATGGCTCCTATCTCCACCTGTGTCAGGCCCTTAAGACAGTACTTGGGGAGTTTCTTTTCATTCCACCCAGTACGTCAAATGTGGCGTTTGACTCGCCTGAATCTCTGAAAGGGAAGATCATAATATGTGACAGACCAGAGGAAGAAGAAGGGGCTGAAGGAATGGTCAACGATAAGAATGCTGATGACGATGATGACGAGGAGGATGAGGACGACGATGAAAGCAATGTTGAAATTCAGGATAGAGGGATCGGTGAAGTAACCCAAATTTCAAGGACTTCTGTGGTTTCAACGGATGCAAACAATTCCTCAGTTGACGAGGTCTTCCAAGGGAAGGATGGCAGAGAGGCAGAGGACAAAGTATCACCTGCTGAAGCCCTCAAGGAGGCAATATATATTAGCTGCTTCAAGCCGAGTGAGCTGAAGGATAGAGGCATCCAGGAGCATGATCCAGCATACATGCTGAATGTGAGTGAGCCTCATCTAAGGAAAGCGACAAACGAAGACAGAACGAAAATGATCAAGTAAGATCTCCAGTACTTTACATTCCCCTTTCTCCACCCAATTTTAGATCCTATTCTTTCCATTTCTCCATTTCCTTGCTTTATGCGGGTTTTCTTGGGATGCTGTCATCCTGCTTTTGGAGACCATTCACACATTCATATGCTTTTGCCGATCATATGAATGAATAGGTACCCGGTAGGGATTTTCCAGCCATTCTGGTAAGCCCGTAGAGTCCGGTAGCTAGCAGGGGGGACTGAATCTGATCCGATCTCAGTCTGGGTATGCAAATAGGGGGGTTGCTTATAGTCTGCAGTGATATTCCTGCCAAACTGGGAGCTGGTAGCTTGGAAAGGACAGTGGTTGTGCCAAGCAGTATCTGGGTGAGGCAGAGCCATGCGCAATGAGTATAGCATTCAGTGAGGTGTAGAGTGTGCCCATCCACCCAGCGGTCATGCTGTGAAGACGAGGAGCTTGAGGGTGGTGAAGAAGACCTCGAGGCTATCGAGTGACGGGTAAGAGAGGGAGTTGTCCGGCTATGGAGGGACGAAGTAAAAGCCCACATGGGGCTATGGAGTCAAATATTTGACTTCAGTGATGGAGAGCAGGAAGGAAGAAACCGACAAGAAGACTTACCTTTGGCCATGTTGCACCTTCATTTTGGTGCTGCATCAAGAAGGCTCTGTTGGGGCAAACAGCTGGACATCGACGTCATAGGTGAGGCAAGGCGGTAATAAGCAGCAGACTAGTCGTGGTGGTGAGTCATCCTTTGTACATCATGGGAGAGGCTTGAATAGTCTGCCATATCCAGTAGTGCTACTGGGAGAGAGGTGAGTGAGTCCAAAAGGAGTCCTTTTTGTACAGGCAGTGAGGGAGATCGATCTGACAGTGATTCCTTAGTCATCTAACCTAAACTTATAAAGTTCATTGGCCGCGGGCTCCTACCGTGGCAGTTGTGACCCTTTCTCGATTGTCTGATGGTGGTGTGGGTGGTGAAGATGTGTTCTCAAACGGTATGTTTTGTCAACACCTGGTGTTGTCAATGGCGGACGTGTGGATAGGGGGAATACGTAGATGTGTGTGAGAGCGCAAGACGAATTTGGAATGCGCAATAACATGTCTCAGTGTTTAAAATGTGTCAGCCAGTGTAAGGAGAAATATTAAAAAATGGGAAAGCAAGCCAAAGATGTGCCAGAGAGCATGAGGGGAATTTACCAACAATGGAAAGCATGTCGACGGGTTTTGTTGCATACTAGTGAATGTGAACACAAGTACGATGCAGAACCCAGAACCGACCAATAGCAAAGAGCAATATACTGCAGCGGAAGACTTGAAAACATGGATCTGAACTCACATCTGACTCGGACTATACACAGGCTCACACACACACATTCATCGGGTGAGAAGGCCTGGTGCTACAAACATGGAAGATGGCGCCAGAGCCTGTACACAACATTCATGGTCGAATGTCGGGGTAAGAGACGAAGGGAGGAGGAGGAGATGGCGCCAACACAAAGCCACTGAAATAGCAATCCCGAAATGTTGGAGACACAGAATCTCGAAATGTTGAAGTCACAGAATCTCAAAATGCTGCTTTACAGCGCAGTGGAAGACTTAGATATAAGTCCTGACCTGACCGGGACTGACCTTTCTCACGTAGTGCAAGACAGCGCAGCAGGAATGCTAGAATACCAATGACTAGCCCAATCAATGTTGCAGTACAGACCAAACATGCATCATCCTCATCACGAGGTGTGAAGGGGCCTGGCGCTACACACAGGAAGAAGGCGCCAGGTCCAGATAATGCACAGACGAAGAGGAGGGAAACAGACGAAGAAGAGGAAGGGGGAGATGGGAAGTCGTCAACACCAAGTCTTCATTACAAGTCCCAAATAATCCCTCGTCATAATGTCTGAAGCCCAATGTCGAGTCTGGATCCAAATGTCACCAAGCTCTCTCTCTCTCTCTTGTAGTTGCTGATGCAGTGAAGTCAGGTAGCGAGAGGGTGAGAGGGAGATGGTGGACTGAGAAGAGGA